AAAAAAAAAAAAAAAAAAAACGACGTCGTGTAGTCGAACCTGCAATAGAGGGAAGACAACACAACACCACATGACTAAGATTTTCTCGGTTGATAAATATGCATTCGTATAAAATGATTTCATAATCATACACGTATCATTCATATGAACATCGTGCATATAAGATGATGCCATAGTCTAAACTACTCGACAAAACGAAAATATATTTTCATAGGTTAGCAAATGGCATCCTCACTAGTGCTCTTAAAATAAACGAGTCTGGCTCGACTCGCTAAGGCTTTTGGCCTAAGGAGCCACCTCGAGCTCATTTAAAGCTCGTTTTGTTAACGAGTCGAGCTTGAGTGCTTGACTCGGCTTGTTAAGGCTCGAAAAGAGAATTTTAATGTAATTTTTTATAGTCCGGCTGGTTAAAGATCGAGATCGACTCGTTAAGGCTTGAACTCAGCTCGTTAATAGTAATAAACGAGTTGAGCTCGAGCTCAATTTGTAGCTCGTTTATTTAACGAGCCGCGTCTAAAGGCCAAATCCTCACCAAGACATAGAAATCCGAAAAACAAAGAAGAAGCTAAATTACCATTTCATGTCCCCCGTGAGCTATACTCCAACAAATCATCATCATCATCAACGGTACTATCTCGATTTTCATGCTTTTCTTCTTCGTGAGAACGAGGAGAGAAAAACGGGTCGAGGCCATCAATTTCACCGCCATTGTCCTTTCTCAAGCTATCGTCTATCCCGTTATAATCCAAGTTCTTCAATATATCCGGAATCGGTTTGCCATCCTTTTCGTAAATACCCATCTCCAAGTCAACCTTCCCATTTGACTTCTTGCAGTCCCCACCGTATTTTTTTGTCACGGATTCTATAACCGACTCGTCTACTTCTTCCAAAACCCATTCCCGAAAGTTGACCAGAGAAGGGGTCGTCTTAGAGAAAAACACTTCCTTTAGGTTTCGAATCATGCCTTTGTTGTACGGGTTTTCCTTCTTGTCGTATCGGTATCGGAAGTTCTCGTATGTCGTCTGAGAAATAACATAAAAAATAATATATAAAAACCTTGTTTTTTGAACCCAAAAACAGAGAATATTTGGCATTAATTTGAAGGTTGAACCCGAAAAACAAAGAGGAGTGGCTAACCTGATTGGTGGACATGAGATAGAAATGGAAGACGCTAAGCCCGCCAACAAACCACACGGCAATGAAGCAATAAACGACTAAACTGACCGAGACAATGTCTCGGGACATGATCGTTAATAGACTGCCCGGTTCTTTGAGGATGTGAAGCAACGAAAATGTGAACACATATACGCACAAGATTGTTGATGTCGAAACAAACAAGATGAATGTCCTGTAGTTTCTCTGCAAAAAAACAAAAATCATGTAACAAAATGAAATTTTCTTTTAGACAAAAAATAAAAATATGAGATAAAATATAGGCAAAAATGTATTCTTAGTTCAACTGGTTTAACGACATAGCAATTTTATTCCAAAGATTCGAACGTTTCGCCTTTTAATTGTAATTTAATATTATGTTGCAATTTCACTCCTCAAATGACTGAAATTGCAACAAATTTCCAAATTTATAGATATTTTATTAGCAATTTTAGTCATATAATTTAAAATTTTGTTGCAATTTCAGTCCTGAATTTAAAATTTTGTAGCAATTTCAATCATTTGAGGACTGATATTGCAGCAAAATATTAAATCACACGACTAAAAAGCACAAAATTATAACATTGGGACTAAAATTGCTATGACGTTAAACTAACGCGTAAAAAACGTTCGTAAACCGACTTACAGCACCAATGCATTGGCCAACCCACGGACAATGATGATCGAACTTTTGGACACAATTGTTGCAGATGGAACAGTGGGAAGCGCGTGGCGGGCGGTACAACAAACACGTGTCGCAATACTTGACTTTAACCGTGTGTCCGTTTACTAAAACATTCTTTGTTCTCGGTAGTTTAAGGTCTGGGGTGGCTGAGGTTATCCAGTCGATCGATGTAATGGAGTTCGACGTGTTGTCTATATCGGGCGGCTGTCGATTTCTAGGAATTATTCCGGGATTTCTCGAGGATGTCATGTAGAGAAAAGCCAAGTCCTGCAAGAAAAAAAATCGTTTTATACGAGTCAAACCTTTAATTCATAACTTACAAGAAAAAAGAAAAAAAAAACTATATCTTGTTATTACTCACCAAAATGGTTAGAACAATTGCCACACTTAATACAACATGCCCGTATAAGTAATCGAGCTCGGAAATTCTTAAAAACAGTCGGACACAGAATGTCAATGCGGGCCCACCAATCAGGAAGGTAGACAAGAGGATCGATCCTGCATCTGGACCAAAGACCAATCGCCCCCCGCAAAAAAATTTCTGAGAAAGATATGAATTTGGAGAGAATATGATTGACTCGTTAGTTGGCGATATTCAAATAGTTAAAGGGAAAATAAGATCAATTGCTCATCATAAACTAAAAGGGTCGGTTTTTTTTTATCTATCCTTATGCTACACGATGATACTTGCAATGCATATTTTGATTCATTAATAAAGGCTAAGAAATCGAAGTTCAAGTCAAACTAGCAAACTAGATTTGTATGAAATTGATGTGGAAGTTGAGCCTTTCTAATTATACTTCAAGAAATTGTGAAGTTCTAAAGCCTTCTCTTCTTGCAGAATTCGCGAAATTGTACTGCTAAATTCATCTCAAAACGGATGCTTATGACTAGCAATGACAATAACCAAGTTTTACTTGGGTGATTCGAAATGCATATTCTCTCGATCGCCCAATCAAGCAAATCAACGAGTCATTTGACGAATAAATTTTGTATCATATAATACTCTGATACATAAATAGTTAAATACAAAATGATATATCGACTCAAACAAACTCGAGTAACAAAGAGACACGACAAAGAATACACATAGTTTTCGTAACCCTTTTTCAATACTCAAGAACAACATAGCAAACATTATAAAATAAACACCAAAGAAAATATGAAACACCATATAAAGCGAAGGAAAAGATGCAGAGTTTTTTTTTTCTAATTTGTCGAAAACAAAAGAAAGAACGAGATAATAGAAAATAAATTTACGTTGCGACCCTTCCAAACTTGATAAAGCCTCTTCTTGTTAGCTGGTCGATCCATGCATTTCGAGGGTGGAGCAACAAAATCTTGATTTTTCATCACATCCATCAAAAGAATACAACTTTTTTTCCCTTGCAATCCTCCTTAACAATAATTTTTTTTTTTTTCGGGGGCGAATTTCGATCTTGTTCTCGTTTTTTTGCCCTCTTATTATGGGATTTTACATGAGAAAACAATATAATCCCTCAATGGGCAGGACAAAAATCAAGATTTCATCAGAAGGGCCTGGCTATAGCATGGAGAGAAATTAATATATATTTTGAATAATATTTTTTTCTATTTTTTTCTCTCTTTTGTTTTCCCTCCTATGAATTTGTGTACTGTGCCAGGTACACCCTTCTCTACATCCTCTCAAGACATAATTTTTTTTTTTTTTTTTTTTTTTTTTT